GACGCCGACGGGCTCGCGAGGCAAAGGGCAGACCTTCACCAAATGCCTCATGCTCAGCTCGGATTCGTTGTTAAGTGGCTACCATCGTGGATGCCACGACAATGGACACCCTAACAATCCTATCATTGAATTTTAACGATGTTCAAAATGACGGAACATGTTCTAAACATGTTCTTACACATGTAAACCATGTTCAACACATGTTTTAGACATCCAGAACTTATTTGGCAGCATGCTTCCTCTCCGTTGATCGTCCTCCACGAGGCTGCCACCACGGCCGCCAGGGTGAGAGCGCGCATCGCCCGCGCCGCTTCGAATGCCTTGTGATTCGGACACCGAGGCCCCGCGGCCGTCCCGGGTGGACAGAGCTGCGGGGCCCAGGCCCAGGCCCAGGATGATTCTACCCGCGCTCCGTGACCTTTCACCCCCACAAAACGGGCTGGATGTCTTCAGATTGCAAGCTCTGCCCGCGAGCCTGCTTCCAACTGTGCGCCACCTCCGACCGCGCGCCTCACTGTTGCTTCACACGACGGCGGCGGGCATCACGTTACTGAAGGGGCCCCGGGATACACAAATACATAGATACAAACAACAGGATTCCCAATCGTTTCCCATACTTCCTGGGTTTGTTGCCTTCCCCCCACTTCCCATATTTTCCTTTTTCCTGGGGACAGACGGTTCATGGTGTCTGTGTGTATCTTTCCCTCCTGAGCTACCCCGCGCGCGCAGGCCCACCGTCCCTCCCAACAGTACACTGCCGTGGGCACGCGGTGGTAACACTCCGCCGACACCTTGGGGGTGTCCTCGGTGCGCGAGATGCTTTTTCCCTCCCACAACCCCTCCCCCCCCGGGGCCAAGTCCGGTCGATTTGGAGGGAGGGGGGAAGTCCGCCTGGATCCCCCGGGCCCGGCCCGAACGCATCATGGGAGGATCGAGGGCCCCACGACGGGCCAAGAGGGCCCCGGGAGGCCCCCAAGACGGTCCAAGAGGGCTCAGTCGCCGAAAGATCCTCCAGGACGGCCTCGATGGAACTGGAGCCCACGTTTCGAGCCCTCGGTTCCCCAAGGCCCCTGAGAAGCCTCCACGAAGCTCCAAGAAGGCCCCGGGAGGCCCCCACCAAAAGGACAAAATGAAGCCTCCCAAAGGGGCCTAAGTGGACCGCAGGAGCAACACCCCACAACCGCCAGTCACCCAAGGGGTTTGGCGGTGTGGCGTAAGCCGACGAATCTCAGACCTGATATGGGCGGCACCATCTACGTCTGCTGCGAGAAGGATGTACGTGAAAAGTGGTCAGCATGCTGAATGCCTGGCACTGCGCTGCCAAAATCAACAAGCATCGCTCGCGGGGATGCTAAGACAAAATCGCGCTTTTAGCGGAAAGCTGGCCAGTACAAGCTGAGCACTCCCTTGCAGCCGGGCGTTGGCTTCGCCGCCTCGGAGAGATCCCCGTGACGCGACCCGCTGAACGTAAGGCCCGAAACCACCTTGAGACCGACGCCGCCACGCTGCTTCCAGCCCCCACCGTTCGCCACAACGGGGCGCCGTGATCCGCCCAGTACTGCGCGACCCTGCGGTGCCCATCCTCCTCGGCAAGCTGAGCCCTACGAGAGAGCGCATTTCACGGGCGCTTGCCTTGGGAACATTCGGCGGCGCGTTCCGAACCGGTGGGTGGGCCCCCCCCAACACTCGGCGCCGTCGGTCAGAACCAGGGGGCCTCCCCTCCTCCCTACCCCCCCCCCCGTACCGAAGCCCCCCCCCTCGGCGCCGGCGCCGACCGCCGGCCAGCAGCGCCGACGGCGGGGACGCAGCGACGACTACCACCACTACCACCACAACCACAACCACCACCAGCAGCACCACCACCTCAACCCACCACCACCACCACCACCCCACCACACAACCACCACCACCACCAGCCACCACCACCACAGCCCACCACCACCACAAAAACCCACCACCACTACCACCACCACCACAATCTACAACACAACCACCACCACCGCCACAACCCACCATCACCACTACCAGCAACACAACCCACCACCAACACCGACACAAACCACCACACCACCACCGCCACCGTCACCACCACAACCGCCACCACCAGCACCACCTCCACAAACCACCGCCACCACAACAACCCACCACCCCCACCACCACAAACTACCACCACACCACCACCAAACAACCACCACCACCACCCACCACCACAACAACCACCATCACAACAACCCACCACACCACCACCACCACTACCACCACCAACTACCACCGCAACAACCACCACCGCAACAAACCACGACCACCACAACCATCACCACCGCAACCACCACCACCACAACCCACCACCACCACCACAACCACCACCAACCACAACAAACCATCACGACAACCACCACACCACCAACGCCACCGCCACCATCAATTTGAGCCGCCACCGCCACAACGACCACCACCACCACTACCACCAGAAACCGCCGCACCACCACCGCCGCCACCACAACCACCACCACCACCACAACTTGCCACCCAAACCACCACAACAACCACCACCACCACAAACCACCACCACCACCAACAATCACCACCACCACAACCACCACCACCGCAACAAACCACCACCACCACCACAGCCTACCACCACGACCACCTCAGAGTGGCCCCAAGAGACGCCCAAGAGGCGCCCAGGACTCTGCACAAACGCCCATCAGAGGCCCCCGGAGCCCTCCGACGAGACCCAAAGAGGCATCCATTACGACTCTGATCCGAAACCAAGGCACGGTGGCGGAGCGTCGACGTCGTCGTCTTCGTCGTCGCCGTCGTCCTCCTCGACGCCCCTCGCCGCGCGCGCCGGCGCCAGCTCAGAAAAGGAAGTCGTCGCCCCGCCGCCGCCGCCAGCCGCCGCCGACGCAGTTGTTCGCCCGAGGAGAGGGAGAGAGGAGAACTAGGGGAGGAGGGAGGGGGAAGGGAAAGGGGGGAGGGTGGAACCAGACCCCCCCCCAAAGAACCACAGAACGCGCTTTTTCTTCGCTCAGCCCCTGGAAATGTTCAGCGTCGTGATGTTCGCGTCCGCGCGGGCGCGGTCCTGGAGCTCAACCAGCGCCGCCACGTGGGGGAGCATGGCGTCGCTGATCATCGCGCGGTGGCCGTGCTGCACGAGGTCGAAACGCTGCCCCAGCATGTCCGCAAGGTGGGGGTCTCCCACAGCGCAGGCAGACGCCACAGGCGGAGCAGTGAGCGCCGGCGGCGGGAAAGACGTCGGCAGGACGCCCGCCCTCGGCGCGGCATTGATGGACTCGATCTGGGTTTCGCAATCCGCGGGCCCAAGGCAGTTGCAGTCGTTGTTCCACCCGGAACAGGAGCCTGCCATACTCTGAAGGCTCCCGAAGGTCGTCATGGGAGCAAATGCGGCATCGAGGGCGGCCAGGGCTCCCACTGCGGTGACTTGCGGCACTCCGTAGCCGCAGCTGTCGCAGATGATGTTGTTGCCCCCGGAGTCCTTCAGCGCCTGGATCGCGGCGTTGCACTGGCCTTTGCTGCACGTCGGAGATATGGCTTGGGTGGCCCTTCCATTTTTCCCCCGAAAGGCCTTCTGCTCTCTGCGCAAGCCTGAATGCACCCACTGGGTGGCGCTAGTGCCCTTCCAGCCTCCCGAAGGGCATCCTAGCACATGCGTCTTACGCTCGCCCACGTGGGCGCGCCACCGCCGCAGGCCAAGAGAACTGAAAATCCACAGACGCACCGAAACTCGACGCTGCTGGGCAGCAGAGCCGCGGCTGCTGCTGCACCAGCGCGCGCGCGCTGGCCTGAACGCCTGCTCCGGGCCCATCTCAAGGAGGCCGAGGGGACGGGCGCCCGACTTCGAGGCGCTGGGCGGCAGGAGCAGCGGCCTCCTGGCCGACGAGGCATGGCGGGAAGTCCTGCATGGCCTGCGCCGATGCCCTCGATGCCGAGGGGGGCGCACAGCAACAGCAGAAGGAGCCTCGCCATGCTTGTAGCGGATCGCGATTCGCGGTGCAAGTGGAGCCAGCTGGCTTGAGCCAAAATGACTACGGGGGGCGCGCTAGTTTCAGAAGGAGAAAAAAACATAAACATAAAACTGTTGGCGCTCCGCGCGAATCTCTTGGATCCGCGCTGGACCCCCCTCCCAAGCGCGCGGAGCGCGCCAAGGGCGGCGCCGGAGACGCCGCTGGCGGGGCCTGGCGCGGACCAAAGAAATCCGCGCGGAGCGCCAAACGTTTATGTTTATGCCGTTTTTTCTTCTACGAATCTTGGGCGCGCCATAGTGCGCGCATCCAGCCCAGGTGAGGGGCGTTCCACCCGCCTCGCGTGGAGGTCTCCCGAAGGCGCCGAGATTGCCCCGAACGGCCCTCGGCCGGCGGAGGAAGGGGACGCGTCCCGAGCGGGAGAGGACGAGGTGAATCGGGGCCAGCAGGACTGCGGCCGCATGCGTCAGGTTCGCGTGGTGCCGACTTCGGCGTTGGTTCCTGCCACCGCGGGGATCGTTCAACCTTCAACAATCGGCCGTCTCCGAAACGTGCAAATCGTTCCACATCGAACGATTCTGGGTCGCCCGCGGCGTTCAACGCTGAACGCCGCTGGCGAGGTCGCCGACGGTCGACACGACACGAACCTAGCGTAACATGTGCTGGGGGCAGGGTGGGGGGACTTGTGTTAAGTCGGGCCTGTCCCCCTACAGGGAGATGTTGGGCGATGTTTTTTTTTAATGCTCAAAAACAGCAAACAACTAGTCCCCCGACTATCGTTTGACTATCCTTGAACTTCCCCCCTGTAGAGGGACAGGTCCGACGCGTCGCGCCCCGCGGCTCTCGGCCCGTGGCAACCCCCCTGCAAAACCCCCGTGGGGACAGCGGAGGTTCCTTTCCGGCTTCCCTCCTCGGCTCCCCGCCCCCGGGCTCCTCGGTGTAGTTCACCGTCGGCTCAGCGGTACTATTGGCCTTCGTGGCCTCGATGGTGGCGTTCACGAGGTCCTGTATCTCCTGAGGGCGATGCTGGCGACGCACGACTGCCTCCTCCTCCACAATTACTCAATATGAATACTACTCTCCCTCTTCCCCTGATGACGTGCTGGGAGTGTTCGACCCCCCCCCGCGTATTTTTTTTACACACAAGATTCTCGGGAGTTGGGTTTTCGCTTGCATTTGTTTTCAAAATGCTGCTCTCGCTGAGGCGCCGGCCTCATTTTCGGGCCCCGCTCGTTCCGAATCGTGCTCCCGCTGCAGCGCTGGCCTCATTTCCGTGCTTCCGCTCGTTCCGAGTCGTGCTCCCGCTGCAGCGCTGGCCTCATTTCCGCGCTTCCGCTCGTTTCGACTCGTGCTCCCGCTGCAGCGCTGGCGTCATTTCCCGTGCCATGCCACGGCATGCAATGGAATGCTAGGTTGATACTACGCTTTGCGGTGCTCTTCTACGCCATGCCATGCCGTGCTCTACAATGCATCGCGTACCCTTTCGCGATCAGTGCCCTGCTCGACATCCGACTGTGCGAGTAGAGAGGGGATCTACGCCATGGTAAGGGATGGGAGGGAGGGGTAGGATGTCAGATATGACACGAGCGCACCTAGCTTGCCCTCCTCCTCCTCCTCCTCCTCCTCCTCCTCCTCCTCCTCCTCCGTAGCCATTTTGGCTCAAGATGCCCTTCGTGCGGGCTGAACCCGCATTGGCTGAACTGGATACCGCTAGTCCGCGGCAGTGCCAGGGTGCTTGCGCCCGACATCCTCTTTGCGAGGGCTGGTCCGCCCCAGTCCATCGCCTGCCCCCTTCACTGGGAGAGCAGCCTTCCTCGCTTCGGCCATGGGAGGCGGCGGCAAGAAGGGCGGCGGCAGGAATGGCTTTGGCGGAAGTCGCTCGGCTCCAGCGGCAGGGGCCAAGACGACGTACATCACGTGCACTTCCTGCAGATTCCGCTGGAACTTCAAGAACAACCACTGGTGCTACCAGTGCGGAGGCGCCATGGTGCCGAGCCCATCGGAGGACAAGCGTCCCCGCGGCCAGTGGGTTTGGGGCCCGCCGCAGGCGGGCGCAACGCCTCCTCCTGAGGCAGAGCCTGCGGCAGAGGCCCCTGCGGCTCCTCCCTGGGCTCAAGCAGGAGGCAAAGGCGCCAAGGGACCACCTTTGCCCCGGCCCGCGCCGAAGGCCCAGGCCGTCCAGCGTCGGCCATGGGTCTACCAGCAGGCGGGCTGGGTGCCTCATGGTGGCCGCGAGGGGCAGCAGCAGCAGCAGCAGCAGCAGCAGCCTGCCCAGGCCGCTGACCCCTTCGAGTTCTTCGAGAAGGAGCTTGGCTCGGACTGCGACGAGCTTCTCAAGCTCAAGGCGGCGGCGCAGGCCAAGAAGGAGGCACAGGCAGCTGCTGCAGGCGCGGGTGCCCCGCAGAAGGCGCCACTCCTTGAGGAGGAAGAAGTGCGGGCCAAAGGCGTGGCTTGCAGGAGGGCGCTGGCATGGCTTGAGACCTGCTCGGCCCGCGCCCTGGAGAGCCAGCAGTGGCTTGCTGACGCCCAGGCCGCAGAGGACGAGGCGGCCGCCAGCGCTCATGCGGCGCAGCAGGACTGGGAGGCGGCCTGCGCCAAGCAGGTCAAGGCCAAAGCGGCGCCGCCGTCAACGGCGCCACCCTCTTCTTCGGCGATCAACCTTTCGACGCTCGTCGACGAGGGCTCGCTTCAGATCGTGGACGGGCCGCTGTTCGACCTCTCTGGCCTGGAGCTCGACGAGCAGGCGCGCGTGGACTGGGGGCGCATCAAGCAGGAGCTGGCCGACAGCGTCCAGACCAAGGTCCAGGAAGTCCTCGGACCCTCGGCGCAGCGCATCCTGGAGCTTCGTGAGGAGGCTCGCAAGCTGCGCGCCAGGGAGGAGGCCAAGCGCAGGCGCGTGGACGGCAGCGATGCGGCTGGCTCTGCTGCTGGCCCCGCTGCTGCTGCTGCAACTGACGGGGCTGGGCCTGCTGGCGCCGCTGCGGCAGCAGGTGCTCCAGCTGGGGCTGAGGCCATGCGCGCTGCTGCCAGAGCCAAGGCCAAGTCGGCCCAGGATGAGCTCTACGCTCAGCAGGAGGCCGCTTCCTCCTCCGCAGAGGCCGCTCCTAGCGCTCCTGGCACCGCCCCCTCCCCTGCAGCATCAGGGGCTCCGTCCACAGCCTAACGCAGATAGAGGGGCGCCGCGCCGAGTTTTGTCGGCATGTTGTTACGGCGGGCGCCCCTGGCCCTACCCAGTCGAGTTCTTCCTCGACTCGGATGAGGAGCGCGCTTTTGGAAGCGAGACAACTACAGCACCGTTGGAGGTGAGCAGTTCGCCGACTGCGGCGCCTTGCTCGGCGTCACGGGCACCGCAGGCGAGACGTTCGTCGCGTTCTGCGTCGCGCGGAGCTACGCCATCCCCGAGTGCGAGGATTTCGGCTACTCGCACTTCTTCGGGCGCATCGGGTCAAGCCTCGCTGACGGGTGCGCTTGGCGGGCTGGCGTATGCTGCCCTTAATGACAGCCCTCCCCCGAGGGCTGCGCCTCGCGCATCTACGGGACCGCAGGCCTCTGTCCCTTCCTGTACGACGGCGCACCTGCACGACGCCGAGCTGGATCCGTTCGAGGAGCTGGAGCTGGAGGAGGTCAACGAGCGTTTCCACCAGGACTCGCCGTTCGAGGCGGAGGTCGGCCCCTCGCCACCTGGCGTCACCGCCACGCCTTCTGAGGCTAGGGCGGACCAGGCTGCCTCCAGCAGCGGCCCTACTTGCCTTGAGGCTGACCTCAGCGCACCAGCAGCGCAGGCTTTGGCCGCTCCAGCCCCCTCCAAGCTCACATCCGACGAGAAAGATTTCTCGATCCTTTACGGTAACATCACTGAGTGGGGGCCTCAAGCGCAGCGTTATGTCAACACAGCCCCTTACTCTGTGTTTTGTCTGGTGGAGACTCATGTCACCGCCGCCACGTTCCACTCCAAGACGGAGATCGAACTGGACAAAGACGGTTGGAAGGTCTGCGCCACAGGGAGCACACCAACAGGACGGGGAGGCTCTTCTGGCGGTGAATGGGCCATGGCCAAGAAGCATCTGGCCACCACCTCGCTACAGGCCATTCGGCAATATGCACAAGCTGCACGCCAACCTGATCCTATGCGCGGGCTCGCCGCCATGATCTTGCACTTGTCCTCGGGCAACCTGGTCTTGGTATCAGTTTATCTTTGGCCAGGATTGGGAGTTTCTGGCAGAAATCGCCAAGTGCTGATTGCGTTAGCCTCCTTCCTTCATGGGCTTGCAGACCCTTGGTTGGTTATCGGTGACTGGAATATTTCACCAACTTCCTTGGAAGGATCTGGCTGGCCTGAAAAAATTGGGGGCACACTCAGTTTACCCGCTGACGTCAGCACCACGTGCGACAAAGGGCAGGAGGGCTCTCTCATTGATTTCGCAATGGCCAAGAACGGAACATCTTCCAGATACCGAGTTCGGTCGCAGCCTCAGGTCCCGTGGAAGACGCACTGTGCACTGCAGGTTGACGTCCACGATGGCATGCGCAGATGGTGGTACCAGAAACTTTTGTTACCTGAACCGTTTCCAAAGGTAGCCAGACCCAAGCTCGCTTCGGACCCCAGCAGCAAGAGGTCTATACTTCGAGCCCAACGGCAAGAGCAAGAACGGGCACGCGTACCACCCGATCTGCTGGAAGACTACGACGCACGACACCCGTCAAGGAGTACTTTGGATCCTGAGTCCCAGGTCTCTTTTCACATACCTTCAGACCTGTGGGAAGAGCAGCCCTCCAAGGAGAGGCTCAGCTCTCAATGTTGCAGCGTGGTCGAGTCTGAGTTGTTGGGCCATATCAACGCACTTGGCCTTGGTGCCGTCACCAGGCAGTACGCGCGGTGGTCCTCAGGAGTGGAACGTGCGTTCGCACTTCATCATCAGCTCAACCTTCGACAGCGGGCTCCACGCGCAGCTGGATTTTCTTTACGATGGATGCAGACCAAAGCTACCCCAGGGCGAGTGCACATGACTGATGGAGCTGGAGAATGGTGGGGAACTGTTCTTACCTTGGTTCAAAGAATCATGGCTCTTCTACGACATGGCAAGGATCCTCGCCAGATAGCTATTTGTACCGCAGCTCTTGGTCGCTACACCAACGACGCTAGCAGCTTCGACCCATCTGATTTCTTTGGTCCAGGCTCTGAGGGCTCCGCGAATCAGCAGCGGTGGATTTCTTGGTCGCGCGCATTTGCGAGCGCCACTGAGATGGAGCGCGACGGTTTTGCCTACTTAACTGAGAAGCTGGCCTGTCGTTCTCAGGCAAGATGCTTGACCTTGAGGCGGCATTCGTTCATCCGCTGGGCCAAGGGAGTTGGGACATCTAAGCCCGGCCTGCTCCACTCATTGGTGAAGGAACCCAAGGCGGTCTCTGCCGACCCCTTAGTGGATGGGCGAGTCGTTGGAGACCCAACTGTCAGAATGGAATACACCAGATCCACCTGGGAGAGACTCTGGCACGACCCAGTCGACTCTCAGGCCGACATCCTCGCCATGTTCAAGCGCCTGCACGCGCAGAGCCGCGAGGAGGAGCTGGACCCCGTCAGCATCGAGCAGGTGGACAATGTTATCAAGGTTTTAGGCACCAAGGCATGCGGAGTTGACTCCATCACACCTCTGGACATCCAGCGACTTCCACTCGAAGGTCGGTGTGATTACTGCAGGCTTCTCAACAGCATTGAAGAACATGGAGTTTGGCCTGCTCAGATCTTGGCATCTATTGGAGCATTATTACCCAAACCCAAAGGAGGAGAGAGGGTCATTGGATTACTTCCAGAGACGGCGAAGATTTGGTCCCGCGCGAGAGCAGGCGTCACGTCCACATGGACTAAGGAGCTCTCTGATTTCTGGGGCACTGCAGTGGCGGGCAGCAGCTCGCTTCGAGCAGGTCTCTTGCGAGCGCTGCCCGATGAATCCGCAGTGGCGCTTGGCATCTCGGCGGCGACCCTACTCCTGGACTTCGAGAAGTTCTACGACTCG